GGGGGGGGGGGGTTTGGCTCCCTGGTGGTTGTGGTGAAGGGCAGGAGGGGGGTTGTTGAATCCCTGACTGGGACAGGGACATCCTCTGAATGCCTTGGGTGATGTGGAGCAAAGGGTCAGGTGAAGGGGGAGAGATGCAGGCTGTCTGTCTCTGTGCCCCGTACTTGTCCTTGGCTCTTATCTGTCCATTCTTGTTTTGGTGCGGCATTCCAAGAGCATGACGTAGGTTGGCCCCGAGTAGTCTGCATCCAGTGATGTTCGAATGAATCCCATCACGCTGAAAGCGATCCTTACAGTTCCAAAAGATGTTAAAATTGTCAATAAACTTTATCCCATGAGTGAAGCATGCCGATGTCAGCCATGTATTCAGGGCAAGGAGTCTGGTAAAAGACTCGATTCCTTTCCCCAGGGTTGGAATGGGGCCAGAAATGAACACATTTTGTGGCTGACAGTCACTCAGTTTCTCCAGGAGCAGGGAAAAATCTTTTTTCAGGATCTCAGAGCCAGTTTTTCTTTGTAGAATGTCAAAAGACCCAGCATGGATGATGATCCTCATGTTACTTGGGTGTGTAGAGAGGATCACTGGCAACAGCTTGGTTAGCTCCCTGACAGACGTGTCAGACACTGTTAGATTTTCAGTCTTTGCCATTCTTACATGCTTGGTTATTGAGTCCCCAATCAGGATGGTGTCTGGCTGATCAGGTTAGGGATACTTATACTGGCCCTTGGCTTCTCAGGTGTGGAGTTAGCATAGTTTTTTCTGGCCCTGGGTCTAGCAGTGGTTTTGGGGCTATTGCTTGCATTTTGGATAGCCTTAATACCACAAGTGTGATTGGCCTGCCTGGGTTCAGTGTAGTTGGTATTGTCACACATTTCATTTGGAGCCAGTGCATCATACCTGTTCTGTAGAGAGAGTTCAAGTGGAGGGGTGAGTGTTGGGGCTCTCTTGACTGATTTCCTGCTGGATTTGCCTTTGCGTCTAGTGACATCAGCCCAAGTCCTGGCTGGAGTTGATGCTTTTGGTCGAGCACCAGTCCTGTGCCAGTAGGAAGGGTCGTTAGGGAAGGCCAGTTTGGGAGCCTCTGCAGCTGATCCAGTGGTGTTAGGACATATCCATGGGATTGTGTCAGCCAAGTCAGCGATGGTATGCTAAACATTTGTTGTATTTCCATATATAAAGTCTGTCCATCAGCACCTTGTATGTTAGCTGCCACAGAGTCAATGAATTGCTTACTCTCACGAATTTGTTGTAGCGTTTCATTCTTCTTTTGAAGCTGCTTTATCGTCTCGGTTAGTCGCTCACACTCTGTGCAGCTCACAGATTTTGCCATCTTGTCCTTGTCCTAATCACAGGTTTCCAGTCACAGACACAGCAAAAGGCTTGGACTGTGCCTCAGCCCTGCTCACGCAGTACTAAAGTGGTGAAAAAATGGTGAAAATATGGCAGTAGTCCTCTGTATCTTTCACAAATTAAAGTCCCAGTGCTTTATAAATATCCAGGATCTACTTTCTGTAGCTTTTAGCAGGAAAAAACAAGTATATCCACTAAAGAATGTAAGCAAAGCGGAGCGCAAGCAGCAGAGCTTCTACACTGTAAGAAAGCCGGAAGACTGTAAAGTTGGGCATTTTAACATGGGGGTCTATGGGGATCTACTGTGTTTTGGAGCTAGCCTCATGTGGCCATTAGAGGTGCTGCAGTTTTGGCTTCATTTTTCATCCCCTGAGGTTGCCGCCATGTGAACACTGGCAGAAGTGCAAGCTAGCTAGACAACGAAAATCACTGAAATTACCAAAGATTTTTACATATCTGGACAATTTACCAGGCATCTGAATTTTGGCGGAAATGTTATCCAAGTCCCAGTTTTTCTCCTGGTTATCCTCATGAGTTGCTAGTCCCGTAACTCGGAGTATTCAGATGCCAACATTATCAGCTACTCCGTCTTGTCTTCTTTTTGCTTCCATGATGCCTGCTATTCGATCAGCAAAATCCAAGCGTCAACTGCCAGAAGTTCAACAAGGTGAATGTGGGTGGCAACCACTTCATACCCCTACTATCATGTTGGAAACCACTTCCCCGTCTGCTGCCTGCCCCTAACTGAAATGATTGGAGGCAGGGAGTTACCGCTTGGCAGTGTGAAAGCAGCTTTATTCTGCCAAAGCCAGACTCCATTACCAATAGTAATACTATGTATATTTATTCACGCACTGTACTCAAGTATAATTCTGAGGAGCTTGTACTTTACTTGAGTGTTGCTTACTTCACAGTTTTCTGCTGCTTTATACTTACACTCTACAGCAACTACTACTACTCTGAGGGAAATATTGTACTTTTTATCTCAATACATGTATTTAACACTTTTGAATTCTAGTTGCTTTTCATGCAAAGATATTGTAAAAACAAATTTTAGAAAGTATGATGCATCGTTAAAGATTAAAATACCCAACAGTATATGAAGCATATAATAACAATAATACAAATGATATGAAACAGAAAAGGTATGTTTACTTTTGATTCTTTAAGAACATTTGTTGCCTATCCTTCTATATTTTTTTACATAATGCTGGATTTTTAAATCAAATGCACAATATCGGTACTTTTACTTGAGTAAATGATCTGAATTCTTCAATTTCCATTGCTCTCTGATACACCATACATACACACCAGACGCCCATATGCATCTGAAATAAGAAAAAATATTTATTGCTGGAAAAATAGCTGAAAACTGTCAGTGTTGGAGAGCAACAGGTTACATGTAATTAACTTAGTTACAATTACTGAGAAAACATATGTCATTCACTTAAAGTTACTAATGAAGGTTACTAATGACAAGGGGTTACATTCAAATATGTTCTTTCTGGTAAAAAAAAAAAAAAAGCTTATATTGTAGAATTTAACATTCATTTTGTTGCTTTACATTTTAACTCTGCAGGAATGCCTTCTCTGTACACAGCCTATTTTTGGACAGTTTTTAAGCTTTATTGCTCAGTTTAAAACATTTGTAAGAAAAGTAGTCAAAACGTGATCAAATGTAACAAGTTACATTACTTTGATAAAGTTATTTACGTTACTGTACTTACTGCATTTTTAACAGAGTAACTGATAATCTGTAACCCATCACATTTCAAAAGTTACTTTCCAAACACTGAAAATTGTATGAGAAAAACTGCCATGTTAAAATGTGAAATTGCATGCTATAACCAAAATGAAATATTAATTAAAAAAAAGTTAACATAAAGATTAATAAATTGGGCAAAGGAAAAAAATGCATACAAACAAATATTTAATCGTTTTGTTAGTATGACCAGTAAAGTGTCAAAGTAGATGTTCTCATTTTGCAGAATGGTCCCGTCATGTTATTTTATTATAGAATATTATATTGTTCTGTTTGTATCACTAAAAAGTACATGTAAGAGCAATGCAGTGTCGTAGTTTGTTAATGTGTAATGGAGTAAAAAGTACAATATTTCCCTCTGAAATGTAGTGGAGTGGAGGTATAAAATAGCATAAAATGGAAATACTCTAGTATGTCAAGTACAGGAAATGTACTTTGTTGCATTTCACCACAGACTTTCTTGTATTGCAGTCAGAGGAACAGGAAGCAGTATCTTGCTCACTCAGTTTGTATTGTCAGTGTTGGCTGATGCTTCACCGAATAAGTACAGACAGTTGAACAGGGACGTTGTGTCTTTGCGGTCATCACTAGTGTGAACTCAAGTTCACAGTAAACAAATATATAAAGACCTTCTCCTTCTGACACTTCTTCAGTTTGTGTACCAGAAACCAGGCAACTGTCCAACACAGCACAGACACACTGACCCAACAGGTTGATAAACAGAAAATGGGATGCTGTTTACCACCGGTCGAAGCTTCGACTGAAAAAAGTGCTTCTTGTAAATTACATGCTGAAGTGCTGCTTTACAAATTAGCCTGAGCTCCTGTAATATTATTCAACTGTGGACTTTAATTGGATATGAGTCATTTCTGGAGCTGATATTAGAAATCAACCCCCAGATGAGTACACAGATGTGAACAAATGATGTATATTATTGATCCAGTGTGTGTGTGTATGTGTGTGTGTGTGTGTTTGCACTGACTTTGATCTGTGTGTGCTGATTTTGTTTCAGGTGATTTTACATCCTTTGAGGCCTCGCATGTCCCTGACACAAGGCGGTGTGTGGGTTGGTGTTATCTGGATAATGGCCAGCTGCTTCTCCCTCCCTCATGCAATCTACCAAAAACTACTGACTTTTACATACAGGTAAAATGATACACACTCATACATTTCAATAAGGAGAGATCAATTGAAAGTGGAGAATAATAATTAATGTGGTTGGCAATTAAGGAAGACTTTGGTGGTTAGACTCCATACATGTGATGACAAGAGAAAAATATGAGAGATTATTGTTATTGTTATACGTGGGCTGGTTGTATAGGCACCTTTCAAAGCACTCAAGGACACCGTACTATACACATTAAAAAACAAACAAACAACAATGTATCCATATGTCATTTAGACAAACAATGCAGTAATATACAATAATAAGTTAGTGCAGATCTCGATAAGTGTGTCATTATTAAATCAGATTGAATATGCCAGCTTGAAAAGGTTTCAGATGGGATTTAAAGGTGGAAAAGGAATCCATCTTGCGAAAGTCATGGGGGAGAGAGTTCCAAAGGCGGGGGGCAGAACTAACCCTTCTCATATAGCTATTGGATTTAATGACAATTTTGCCAGTGTGGGCGACAAACTTGCAGAAAAAATAGTTGATGTAGAGGAATGTCCTATTGATAACATTGCTGTCTTTACATGGCAACTCACGAGACTTGAGAACAAGGACGTCTCTGAACGTCGTCGGACGTCGCAAGTTGCAATGTAAACACACTGACCACGGTGAGAAATGATGCTATAAAAGTGCAGTAAATTAGTCTTTTCAATTCAGTTTTGCATACCGCGGCTTCAGGGCACTTGGATTAGGACAGATGAGCCGTTCTGACGTTTTTGAAATGCATTAGCGGAGTTTATTACATTTTCAAAAGTCTTCAAGTGTATGGAAAAATCCGGCTAGCTGTTATCCTCCGATACCCTGAATGAGTTTTGTGGATTAAAAAACTATACTGGACTTCTTGTCGGCATGAGGGTCAGTAAGTACTGTCTGTATTTTCAATCTAAAGTGGCCATTTCCTTTAAAGGTGAGAAGCAGAATCTTGAAGTTGATGTGATATTTAACATGAACCCCCTGTAGTTGCTGGAGAACAGGAGTGATATGTTCTATGGAGGGGGTTCTAGTAATGATACGGGTGGCTGAATTCTGTACCGATTGGAGATGATGAAGACTCTTGAGAGGAAGATCAAAGAGGACAGAATTGCAATAATCAATATTGGATGGAACCAAAGAGTGAACGAGAATAAAAGCGCTATGAGGTTTAAGTCACAGGCAAAGACAATAGTAACATTATTGATGTGGGCCTCAAAGGACAATGTACTGTCCAGGATGACACCCAAACTCTGAAGAGACAGACGGACTTTGGAGTTTTCAATGGTCAGAGAGAAACTGTTTGGTTTAACTGTAGTGGAATTAGTACCTACAAGGGATTTAGGAAGCACAGCTTGTCAGTACCATTATGAAAAATCTTTTTTTGCTTATTTCTCCTCATAAAAGCATTTTCCATGATTTCATTTCATTTATTAGGATCCCCATTAGCTGCAGCCGAACCAACACCTATTCTTCCTGAGGTCCACACCGAACACAATGATACATACATGACAGTACATAATCACTAAACACATCCCACCACCACAACAACAACAAACAAAACACAATACTACACAAGACAGGACCTAGCTCTAGTCATAGAAAAAACAAAATATAATAGGTATAACGTACAAATGACTCATATTCAGGTTATTGCACAAGGCTTTATAAATGAAAACCAAAATCAAAATGGGCTTACAGCCTCCAAAGCCTCCAAGCGCTTCAGATATCTGAAGATTCTTTGATCATCAGGATATTAATCAGCACATGCGGCCCACTGGCGGTGGATAAACAGGAAACAGCTGATAGCAGGAATTAGCGAGCAGCTAGTAGCAAGAGGGAAACACAAACCTGACAGACACTCAGTAAAGATGAGCAACTGGGGAGACAAATAATTGCGCACCTGCCTTGCCCTCACAAACGAAGAGGCCATTAACCGGGGACGGTGAAGAACAGGCCAACTTATGAGAATCGCCGAAGGACTGCCCTTCCGCAGCTTCCCTCCCACGTCACTGGTTACGTCACACACTGAGCTACACGTTTTGTTACTTGCTCACGCCCCTCATTGCCCCGAAAAAGGTGCATTCTGTACAAACAAAAGTAGGTAGGCGGCATTTTGCCGCACTCCCCGATTTTGTTTTAATACTGCCAATGCTGAAAGAAGACTGATTAGGCTTTCCTGCAAATTTGCACAATTCCTGTTTAAAAAGGGCTTTTAAATGATGACGACATGTCTTGAGTGAAGACATTCAAAAGCAGAGTGCTGATCCATGGCAAAAATCCTGTTGTGTTTGCTGCATGTGTTTCCACAGCAGGGCAGGTAAAACAAGTTCACCTGTTGGAGGTAAGCTGTTTGCAGAGGAGCAGTAAGAGCCTGTTGTCTGCAGCTCTTCATCAACATCTCACTGTGGCTGTTTCTGCTTTGACTCTTCCTCCCTGCCGTATTTTAGACTTGTCTTTATTGAAGAAAAGCTACTAACAACATTCTGCCAATTCAGTAATTAACACATTTCATTTCCTTTAGATTCTTCACAATAAAAGTCTCCCATTATTTTATTGAGTTTTGTTTTCGAGCAGCAACTTCACATAATTAGTATGGTGGATAACATGAAACGGTAAAATAAAGCAGCTATGTGTTGGGATTCACAGGACCACAGATGGTTTATCATTTGGTAAAATCATCACTGGACAATTTAAAGGCTTTTTCCTCTGCATCCTCTTTGTCTTCAAACAAAGAGGGCTATGCCACACCCATCTCCACAGGAGATTTCACCTCACACTTCAGTGAGACTCAAGTCCCACAACTTGATTGGACAAGACCTTTTACAGTGACATGTGACTCTGTGATGTCACAGGCATCTGTACAAGGTTTGCTCCCTTCAGATCTTTCTTTCTCATCTTGCCCTGGAGCTTCAACAGCTCACACCGCTCTCCGGCTGGGCTTGGAACAGCCCAGAGGCCTAGACCCTGACTCCATAGCCCAAACCACTAAAGGGAGAGCAACTGATCACAGACTCTGGCAATCACAAGGTTTGCAACTAGCTTTCCAGCAACAAGGAACTAAGTGAGTTAGCACCCAGCGTCTAACTCTGGAAGGACCCCGAGTGACCAGCTTCCTCGGAACCTTTGGAACAAAGGACACAACAAATACTGTAGCTGAAACCACACCTTCCCAGCCTTCTTCTGCCGGCTAACAAAGCAGCACACCACCAAGTAACTCTTTCTCCCATCCATTCAAGGATTGGTAATGTAACAACTGGGCATAGTTTATCACAACTTTACAGGCTAAGCAAGACTGTTTAACTTGTTGTATGTGATTTGATGCTGTTTACGGAGTTATTGTTGTGATTGTTGGCAGTTAGGTCATTGATTAGTTGACTTTGCCAAAGCTAAGTGTTTAGTTTGCTAATACTGTTCAAAAACAGATTCTTGCACACAACTAAACAATCTCTGCACTAATCCAGACCGTTTGCAAAACATGTCACATTGACACAGAGTCATTAACAAACAGGCTTTCAACAGAGCTACATCCAAACAGGCATATCAAAGTTCCCGCTTCTTTTCCTTTGTCTTTGTCCTGACCACACGGTCAGACAAACACCTCCCCCGAAACTGAAGCAGTCTTGATTCGGCCATTTTGGTAGTTCTCTGTTGTCAGCCATTTTGCTTTGTAGGCCAAACGGCTCCTTGATCACCACACCCGCCTTTGTCTTTCTTTTCTTTCTCTCTCTCTCTCTCTCTCTCTCTCTCTCTCACTCACACACACACACACACACACACACACACACACACACACACACATACATACCAAGCTTGTATATAGTTTGTTAGAATTTGTGTGTTTTGGTTTGCTTTGCTAGTTTGTGAATAAATATAATTCTTTGGAATCATACCTGCTGTCTGTTTAATGTTGCACAAGGGTGAATGAATAGTTAACCTCTGCTGCGTCAAGAACTCCGAAATGCTTCAGGCGTTACTGTTAATTTTGGTTGTTGTCATTAATTTCATTATTAATCAAACTCCAAATTAATAGTTTAGCGTATTTTATGAGACTGATATCTTTAACTGGCTATCATTTTTCCCTTTACGGGAATGGTGCCCCACGAGGTGATTTAATGTTAATTAAGTCACATTATTTACCATAATTATTAATTATTAATAATAATTATTAATTATTTCCAATAGCCAATTAAACCCCAACATATTTGGTACCTCCGTGTGAAGCCTAGTGTGTTGACCCCAACATTTATGGTGTCGCCGAGTGAGGTAAATATATGTTGACCCCAACATATGTAAAATGAAAACAGGACACAGGAGAGAAACTAATCTCCACACAACATGAGATTCTGATAAAAGCTACAAAAGCACTGAGAGCTGAACACACAGAGACTTTGAAAAATGCCTTGCTCTCTGGTCTTCAGACAGAGGTGAGTAGAGTCCTGCAACACAAATGCTTGTTTGGGGGGAGAATGGGGGTCATCCGGGCTTGATTGTGGTCGGCAAGACATCAGGCGGCCTGGCTTTTGGGCCTACTCTGGTGGAGGTCCATCTCCGGCATGGCTTGGCGTGGCATGGTGTGTCTAAACTGACAATGGAAACACAAAGCAGCGTGGCATGGCTTTATCACTTTTTCTCTCCATTAGACATTTGTGTAAAGTTTTGTCCTAATTAGCATATGAATTTTTGAGTTATGGCCAAAAGTGTATTTTGTAACGTCACAGTGACCTTGACTTTTGACCACAAAACTCAAATTACTTAATTCTTCCCGTCCAAGTGGACATTTGTGTTAAATTAAAGACATTCCCTTATGGTTTTCTTGACATATCGCCATCGAGAGAATGAGACAGATGCAAGGTAACACTGACCTTGATCTTTTAACATCGATATCCAATCAGGTCGTTGTTGAGTCCAAGTGGACATTATTGCCACAATTTGAATAAAGTCCCTGTCTTGAGAAATTGTGCTCATGAGAAAAAGAGAGACAGATGGACAGAGGGAGGACAACTGGCTAACACTGGTGCAGAAGCATAAAAAAAAATCATTTGAATCAGTTTTCAAGGAAAAATGCCAAAAATTGTCTTGTGTGTGAGGTTTTGCCATTGCTTCTTTTTCGTCATATATTATAATTAAATGAGTAATTGTGGGTTTTTTGGTTGTTAGTTGCAGCCCTACACTCACCTGTGACCTAATCCTAACCCTGTTCAGTAATCTGTCACTCCTGCTTCTTCTGTTTCTCTCCAGTAAGGAAAAGGAGCGCAGCCTGTGTGTCCCAGACTTCCCAGAGCCCTCAGATGTCTACTGGCAGTACATTGACCTCCTGACCTTCATATTACTCTACATGCTACCACTCCTCATCATCACCGCCTCCTACACCACAGTGGCCTGCCGGCTGTGGCGTCACAATGCCATCGGTGACACCACAACAGCTCAGCACGCTGCCCAGAGAAGAAAGCGGCGGCGGACATTAGCCATGTTGCTCCTGGTGGTCGGGGTGTTTGCCGTCTGCTGGTTCCCTCTCAACTGCTACGTGGTGCTGCTGTCCAGCCAGGCCATCCACTCCTCTAACGCTCTGTACTTCTGCTTTCACTGGCTGGCTATGAGCTCCACCTGCTATAACCCTTTCATCTACTGCTGTCTGAATCCCACCTTCCGCCAAGAGCTGAGGCTGCTCTTCGACATGTGCAGGAAGAGGCGGAGGGCGGTGGTTGGGCTGGAGCCAGAGCTCCGCCCTGTTGCTGCTCCTTGTCACAGGACTGCCTGGCCCGACAACCACGAGTCCTCAGGGCCAAGGCACACCTTATCACACCCGGGCCACTCCTCCTCACAGCAGAGTCACGCCTCCTCCAGTCAGTCCCACAACATCAAAGATACACACGTGCTCTTCACGGCCAGGCATGTCCTCACAGGAAGAACTGACATCCTCTCAGTCGAGCCCATTGTGGCTGTCAGCTGACAGGGAACATGGGATTGTGCTGTTTGAGATTCTTAATCCTATTTTAGGATTTCATCATGTTCCAAAGAGGAAATCAGAGATCTCAGAGATGTATGGCTGAGACTTCACGCGGTTGTGATGGCAGGAGAGTGAGAGGACATGGTGATGGCTTTAAAAGGAAGAAACTCATGTTGTTTTATCCACCTTTACGTTCTGCTTCTCACTCAATTTAGGCATCAGCCCTTAAAAGTCCAGTGTGTAGGATTTAGGGGGATACAGAAATTGAATGTAATATTCAAAGTTTTCATTAGTGTATAATCACCTGAAACAAGTAACTGTTGTGTTTTTGTTAACTTAGAATGACCCATTTATATCTATGGTTTTCCTCCATGGAGTCCACCATGTTGATCTATAGTAGCCCAGAATGGACAACCCAGCTCTAGATGGGGCCGTTTGCATTTTTGCGGTGGCCCCCATAGTCCTAATTACAAGTTTCAGTTGGTTGCAATCTGCAACCTCACCCCTAAATGACACTAAATCTTACATGCTAGACCTTTAAAGCATTACCAGCTGTGCTTGAGCTGTCGATCGTTTCACACAATCTTCATCAGCAAATGGAGTTTGGCCAGTTTATCATGTTCAAATTTCCATTTTTTCCTCTGCCCTTTTAGGACACCTCCTCCATGTTGGCTTTAGTTGAGTTGAGATTAAAAGTTAATTTTTTGATCTTGGAAACAGCAGCTGACAAAACAGTCTCACCACAAAGTCCATTTACCAGGGCTTCTTGAGCTTTGGATCAGTTTTTAGAGATTACTGTTGCAGCAATGACACAATGATATACATGCAGAGGATGTAATGTGAAGCTAACTGGGCTCATTCCTAAAACTAATTTATCTCAAGTTTCTTTATACCATATATTTTATGAAAGAAAAAAAAACCCTCATCTGATGTAAATTTTCTGTCTAAAAATCTTTTTTTTCTGATCTCAACCATCTCTGTACCAACAACATGGGTAGTATGCGTAAATGAACTATGTTAAACTTTGCTCCATTGTACCAGCACCCACATCTCCCTGCTCATCTCCTCCAGATAACGTCAAACTGGATTTTCGCCAGCTCTAGGGGTGTTGCTCAAAGTACAGATTGTACCGCATTTTCTTATGCCCACCTGCACAGACAAAATCATTTAGAAGGAGATGAAGAGAGAGAGAGACGCCTCTCTCTTTCTCTTTCTTAAACTCAGATCAAACTGTAAAACTAAGCAGTGCTGATCAAATATAAACCAAGTTTCTGATATTCTATTGTCTATTTCTCACCTAAAATGTTTTCAGACACATACTTTTGTGCACTGTTTGTCTGCAATCCAAGGCTGTTCGTGAACAGGAAGTGGACCGTTTCCTGTATTGTAGAAACAGAGGCTGCAAATACTATGATGGACGTATTTACCATGAAGTCACACAGTGGTTTGTGAACTTCCATTATGAAGCCTCGGGTTTAAGATTTCAGCCATCTCCATCTTGGTTTTTTGCAGGCAGAACTGACCAAATTTGAGGGGTGGCTCTAACTGAGAAGCTGAGGACACTTTTAACAGACAGCCTGTCACTCAAAGTGGCCCACCCTTAATTATATGTGACTTTAAGCCTTAATCATTTTTAAAAGGAACTAGTTATATGAAATATCACCCCTGCAGAGTTGTCATGAAGGGGGGAATTAGCGATAGAGACCAAAACCAGGCTGTAAACATGTTTATTTCTGCTTTAAAGTTGGGTATTTTTAATGGGGGTCTATGAGGATTGACTGGCCTCTGGAGCCAGCCTCATGTGGCCATTCAAAGAACTGCAGATTTTGCTGCTTGGATCACCGGTTTAAATATGGACCAAGATTCTGTTACTCCATTTTTCTGTTTACTCTGTGCATGTAGAACCAATTTTGAAAGCAACTGCACCTTTCTACTACACAGACAACCCATTTTTGTGAAAAGGCTATCTTTACGGCGGTGAAATGCTTCTTTAATCTTTTGAGATAACTGTCAGGTCTGTTTGCCTTCACAGGTTTGCATGACTGACAAAGTTCATTAATCCCCCAAAATCTCTCTGAAAAAAATATGTATCACTTAGTTGTGACATGAAAACTGTGGTTTACCATTCTGCCTACGAGCACAGAACCTCAGTCAGTGTTCAGAATAAAATATTGATCACACTGATTCACAAGCTGCATCCTGCTGCTCAACCGTGTCTCTTTGATTCATATATAGCCACAGGACTTATAGAGAATGCATAGGGGGTAAAAAAACCCACGCCGACAAAATATTACAGCAGGCTACGTGACTTACCCTCATCAACATATATTCTGCACCATAGGCTGTGTCGTCTTTTAGTTGCTTCAAAAGTCTCTTTACAGTGTGTGATTTTAGGTCCCTTGAGACTTAAAAGTTGCCAATAGTGAAAGAAAAATTATGTTTTTGGTCATCAGTCCAGACAGACACGTTGGAGCTTTGCATACCAAAGACAGCCTGCAGCAAAATTCTGACGGTGTTCTCACAGTGTGACTGCCACTACAAACCAACCAATGATGCAGAATAAATATGAACACTTTAGTTATGGTTCACACTGTTGGCAGATTGCTAAGAGGAAAGCTTGCACGTGTGTCACACTGCATTTTGAGGCTGAGCATCAGAGCGTGCTCACAGTTCATTTAACGGCATTAGTGGAGTTTGCTTTTGTTCACTCCAAGTAATCCCATCCAATTAATTATATGCCTTGAATATGTAACTTGTGCTTTACTTTAACCATCTAAAAAGGCTGTAAAATAGCCAACTAGGCTACTTTGGATGCTACAGAATTTGAAGGCAGAATATTTCTTCAGTTTCTGAACTGCTGTGTGAAGGTCGCTGTAAAGTAATTGAATGGTGTTAAAGATAATAACAGCCTCTATGAATTTTATTCAAAGATCATATAAAACCGAGCAAAAAAGAGAAAAGAATGAATAACCTCAGCTTTTGTAACTGCATGATCTCCAGCCATTGCATATCACACTCTTTGAGCATCTGTCATGTCCTCACTTTGCCTCATTCATGAATGTGTTTACTCCACTCCGCCAATGAAAGGAGGCAAAGTGAAAGCGTTCCTACCACCATGTCATCTTTGTATGTAGGTTTCTTTTGGCAAATTGAACTGGGAAAATCATATTTTCCTTTAGAAAAACAGATCCTATTTCGTCCTATGCTGTCATCAAATCCAGTGCCAGACATAACAGATTAGGCGCCCTAGACAAGCTTCTCCTGGCCCCACAATAAGAAATCACTCTTGGTGGCGTTCTAGGGATATGTCCCCAGCCTGTTCTCATTCCCTAGTTGTCAAATACTGCTGCTTTGTCAAGTGATTTTGACCATTACCAATGCAAAAAGGCACCTTTCCCAGCAGAATGATACACACCGGGCAGCACCAGTTGATAACCCCACCCAGCAGTGTGTCATACTGCCATGAAAGATGCATCAGTCGCCAGATGGCATCTGTTTGAAATGCTGCGAGTAAAAACCTAATATAAGGAGCTGGAAAGTTCCTATAGGGCAGGTGGGAGGGGCGGTGGATGGATACAACAAACCCCGGACTTTCACCTGTGTGAATGTTTGAGCCAAACCATGATGTTTTATAAACCTAACCACATGCTTTTTTTGCACAAGGAAAAGAAACATCAGTACGAGGTGTGATGTTGTAAGTTTCTTTTGAAAAAGACTGTATGCATCTAACAAGCAGAAACTGTACATTTCCTGTGAAAACAGAAGTGTACTTTGAAAAGACACAATGCATGTAACAAGCGCAAATTCGTGGCATCCCGGAATGTCAACAACAGACGCAGGAGGATACCTGGCCTGTCAAATGGAGACGTGAAAGTCCACTGAAATAGTGAAGGTATTTGAAGAGTTTGGATGAGGACGCATTGATGTTCTCTTTTAGGAAGATCTGCCACTGATCACATCACATTACAGGTCTGAGAAACATCAAGTACACCAACATTTTGGTGGTGTTTAACCCAGGTGGCTGCAGTGCTGAAGGGACAATCATAAATATACTGCAGATGGTTTTCATAACACCTGGATTAAAATGGAGCTAAAGCATCTTGCTGAGAAAAAAACCTGCATTTTTTATTGGACTAAAAGTCATATCAGCTCTTCATCAAAAATGTGTGTCTTTACGCACATACAGTACATTCATTGTAGCAGAATATTAGAGTGTGTTAATCAAATGTTAAACACAGAGTGTGTCATTGTCTCTCGCAGTTGAAAATAAGGAAATTTGTTGTTGAAAAATATGTGTTATATATTTTAAGCTTTGAAGGTTCTGTTATTATATTATAAATGAAGCAGAATAGGAGATGAACACATTCATGCAACAAAAAGCATTAATGTAGGTCAGATCATGAAAATATATTGTTGTGAGTTTTTCAGTGTTTCTTGTGAACATAATATAATCTGTGTTTAAGAAAGTGAGAACAATAAACTGTGTGTACATGTACACAGCTGCATAAAAGAAAAACTGCTGAAATTGCTTGACATTTGTCTCTCTGTGAATAATGAATCTGTTGCTTTATTTCTGGTTTGTTGGTTGGCTAATGGGAAACAGAGGAAATGATCAATAGGCCAAAATAAAATCTTTGCAACCTTATGTCTCGTCTTACTGTAGTTTTCCAGAGTTAATGGTTCAGGGATGTGAGTAACATGAGTGTTTTTTTAATGTGTCTGTCTTTGTCTTTAAACATCTGTTGTTGTTGTTGTTGTTATTGTTATTTTGCTGTCCTTTGTGAATGTTTTACACCATGACATCCCTATCCTCTACAAGATCAAATATATTACTATAAATAAAAACAAGGAAACTTGATTCTAGTTGTTGTCTTTGAATGTTCAGATTTTTATTACTTTTTTTCCTCTGAAGATGGTAAAAGGCACTGAACCAGTACAACTGCTTTGATTCTTACCATATGATGCATGGGTGGAATAAGAGCATTTCAACCACAGCCTTCAAAAAGAATACTGATTGGGCACATATGCAATATGATTAATACACACGATTTCATGAGATATACTGTAGCTGGATACATCTGCAGCTGAGAAAACCAGAGCTTAAACATAATCCATACAGAATTACTGATTTGGGAGAGCTACTGTGTAGAAACCTTTCCATACACTCATGTCACAAGGTGTACTTTTATCTTAATGCTATTCATTTCTGTCCAGACAGGCAGTAAGCCTGAGTGACAGCACAGATAGTGCAATTCTCCAGACAAGTGACCTATGGGACCAACAGGTAGCATTTCTCTGGCTGGCATTAGAGAGCACTCTGATCCCATGGATCAAAGCAGTACAATTTGGGGTGACCATTATGAAGATGAGATCCCTTCACTATATGAAAAATAGGGTTTGTTTTTCAGTGCCCCCCCCAAAAAAAAAAAGATCCCAGTTGATCCTGGGCGAGAGGAGCGGTACACGCCACTCAGGTCACAGAGACAGACAAACATTCACTCTCACATTCACACCTACTGGCAATTTAAAGTCACCAATTAAAACCTCTTGTAGTGAGTTTTGTTAAGACCCAAATGCAGCACACAGGGAACCAGGAAAAGTTAGTAATGACTTTTAAAGCAACAAC